GATAAGGCAAAAGTACCAATGGATTTTCAAAGGTGATAAGCTATGCAAATTTGGGCACCTTAATGAAATGAAGCAGCTTCTCGGATCGGTCCCCCTTACTGAAACATCGCTTTTGCGTCATTCTCCGGAATGCAGCACAACTAAGCAACATCTTGCTTCTGGATGCGATTTTTTGCGCTCTCTCGGCTACTGAGATCATCCTACAATGCATCGCAAAACGAGTAACGATGTGGAGATGTATTCAACTAAAATTTACGAAAACAGTATCAAACTGAAATAAAATTGCTGAAATGTTTCGGTCCTTGAAGTCGTATACATTCTTATTGAACACCACAACTGTAACTTTTCAGCACGATGGCTGTAGTCCCAAATTATTTTTAACAAGGTGCTGCTAAATCCCCAAGTGTTTCGGTAATGAAAAAAGAAGGAGTCTAATATGCAGAAGAAGAGTACAAATCGAAAGACACAGAAAAACACATATTGCGAAGTACCAAAAACAGATCCGGCAAGGAATAACAAACACAGTGAAACGGAAAATGCAACAGTGAACAAAACACTGTAACGGCAAAATGCTGTCCTTATTACGCTAATTGTTGCGAAATTTTTGAGAGAAAGCATATCAATTTTTATGCGTTTTGTACTGTCTAACAGCAGTACAAAACCCATATTGTCACGGGGTTGTCTCTGTGTGTGTGTGTGTCCGCAGCAACTTGTTCGCAACTTTCAACTCGGGAACCACAAAAACTAGGAAGCTGAAAATTTTGGGGAACGTTCCCCACCCACGTGTGACCCCGCAAAATTTGAACTCAGCCTTCCCGCACACGCGGGTAATATTTACGGCCCGGTGAAAGTTTTTTACGGGTAAATTTATATCTCGGGAACCAAGAAGTCTAGGAAGCTGGAATTTTAGAGTAGTGACCCCTGTCCACGCTCAACCTTGCCTATTCAAATTCAGCGTTCCTGCACTCTCTGCTATCACCTACGGGCTAGAGAAAGTTTTTGCGGGTAAACTATTAACTTGGAAATCACGGGAAGATATTCACCCTTCAAGGTTTCGAATTCAGCTTTTATGCGCTGGTGTGTGAAACTTTTAACTGTTTTCCAATGTTTGAGCTATTTTTGCATAGACAAAAGCACAAAGCAGTGAAAATCATTAATAGGCAATCGTTCG